TTTTCTTTTTTTTTTTTTCTTTTCTTTTTTTTTTTTTTTTTTTTTTTTTTTTTGTTGTTGTTGTTGTTATTGTTGTTGTTGTTTATTATCATTTTTTCTTGGATTATTATTTTATCTTTCTTTTGAATTAATTTTTTTTATTTCTTTAGGTATTAAAGAAACATGTATTTAGTGATATTTCCATCTTTATGACATATGTAACAATAATTTACTTTACTCTTGAAAAATATATATATGACAAATTAAAAAATTGTAAAACTAATTATTTAAAAATTAAATATTTAATTGATTATAATACATATTTAAATGTAAAAAATATTTGTATAATAATGTAAAAACAAGAGATTCCAAAATTTTAGTAATATTTGATTAAAAAGTATAAAAATTATTGATTTACTTCATTTTGAAAATAATTCATCGCTTTTTTTTTTTTTTTTTTTTTTTTTTTTTTTTTTTTTAACACATAATGATATATAATATAATGATATATAATGAATTATTACAATATTTAATTAAAAATGTTTCTGATCCAAACATCAAAACAGAATTAGATAAATAAATACTCATTGATATTATAATAAAACTCCTTTAATTAATGCACTTCCCGATTTGAAAATAGTCCAATATCTGGTTGAACATGGAGCAAATATTAATAAACCAAATCATTTTGGATAAATACCAATAATAGTTGCTTGCAAAATAATGGTTATTTAGAGGTAGTAAAATATTTATTAGATAATAATGTTAATATTCATTCCTTTGATAAATTTAATATACTAGCATTAAGAGTGACCATTTAAAATAATCACTGGGAAATCATGGATCTACCTCCCCCTTTTAATATTATTATTAAAATTTTATTAATATTTTGAAATTTCAAAAGGCATTATTTTCACAGGCAATAATAACCCATTATTTCCTATATTACTATATCAATTAATATTGATATTGGAATTATTTTTGATTAAATATTTAATAAATTCTAAATCATTTTGCCAATAAAAATAGAATTTCCTAATTTGTCTTTTTGATTAATAGTAACTCCTTTTTCAATTAAATATTTACTAATTAGTATTTTTTATTTTTATAAGCATAAATAAGTACAGATCAATCCTATTTATTAATTCGATTAATATCTATTTTTTGGTTAATTAAATATTTCATTATTTCAATATTCATATTATTATTTTTACATGATATCAATATTAATCATCAAAATAACGAAGAATATTCGATTCTAATAAAATGATGCGAAAATAATAATATTGAAGTCGTAAAATTACTTATTGAATCAAGGAGTAAGTGTTAATCAACAGCTTAATAAAAATTAAATATAATTAGGATGGATTAGTCATTGCGGTTAAAAATAATAATTTAGAAATTATTAAAATATATAAATGACTATGATACGGACGTCAATAATTATCGAAACTATAATAAGGAAACACTTTTATATGAAAGTATGCCAAAATAATCAGAAAGAAATTATGAAATATTTAAATATTTAATTGAATCAAGAGGAAATTTTGAAATTCGACATGATTACTTCAAGAAACCACGTCTTATGATGGGATATGAATAAGGTAATTTTTAAAATTGTACAATATTTAATTAATCATGGCATAAAGATTGATAGTAAAGATGCTAAAAAGAGAACAGCATTAATGTACGCATGTAAAAATGAAAATTATGATATCGTGAAATATTTAATAGAACATGGAACAAATATAAATAATATTAGTAGATACGAATTAATAGAATTATTATTTGCATGTGAAAGTGGAAATGATAAAATTACTAAATTATTAATAGATAAAAATTCAATTATTAATATTAAAGGAAAATATGGAGAAACAGAATTAATTAAGGGATGTAAAAATAATAATTAAAAATCGTTAAATATTTGATTAAATATAGTTCAGGAATGAATAGTATTAATATTAATGGAAAAAAATAATTCAAGACATACAGGATTAATGCTTGCGAGTGAGAATGGAAATATAGAAATGGTACAATATTCAGTAAAGCATGGAGCAGATATTCATCACTGTGATGATTTTGGACCACAAGCATTAAAGTTTAGTTGTAAATGTAATAATGTTAAAGATGTAAACTATCTACTTTATCATGGAACTAATATTAATAAAGGTTCAAAAAATAGAAATACATCATTAATGATTACATATAAACATAATCATATTGAAATTGTTAAGTATTTAATAAAACAAGGAGTAGATATTAATATTTGTGAGATCAAAAGAAGTACAGCATTAGTTAAAAGTATATTAAAAAAATATTTTGAAAATAAGTATATATGTAATAGAAAATGAAAGAAATATTAATATTTATGAAATTTTCCAAACTTTATTCATAACACATGCCATTCAAATTAAAAATCTTGAATTAATTCAATATATCGAGGATAATAATTTAATTGTGAAAAGCAATGCAAATTGTATAATTAAAGGATTAATTGATGCTTTTATAAATAATGACTTTAGTTTGGTACGTTATATGTTTGAAAATGGTGCAAATATTAATATTATTGATGATAGTAATAAATCAGCATTAATATATACTTGTGAAAATATAAAATGATGAAATAATAAAGTATTTAATAGATAATCGTGCTAATTCAGTTGATAAATATGAAAAATCCCCCTTGTGTCATTTATTAAATGCAATTCAAGAAAAATTATTTAGAGGTTCAATCAAGTTTGAAGAAAATGAAAATATAAATAAAAAAAAAATATTCGAAATTTTAAAGTTTTCATTAGAAAATGGTGCTGATGTTAATTTAAGAAATAATTTTGGTGAGTCATTCTTGATGAAAGCATGTCAGACAAGTAATTTTGAAATAGCCTAATAATTAATTGGCAACCAAATAAATATAAATATGGTAACTCAGCATTTCCGAAAATTCTCTACTAATTACATATAAACATAATAACCTAAGAAATTGCAAAGTATTTAATTCGAAAAGATGCTGTTAGAAATATAAAGAATGATATCATTATGCAACATTAATGTATGCTTGTGAAAATGGTAATTTCAAATTAATGGAATTTTTTAGTTCGAGGAGATGATTTATTTAGATGGAAATTGAGCATTAAAAATTGTCTTTCAACATAGAAATTAGGAAATTTTAAAAATTTTAATTGAACATAGAGTAGACATAGATGCACTATATAATTGTAATTATCAAGAATTATTTTTATCTAATGAACAAGTTGATATAGAAATATCAAAATACTTAATGAACATAATATTGATATTAATAAAAAGGATGAATCAGGTTCAACGGCATTACTATGCTTGTCATACTAACAAATTAAATACAATCAAAAATTTAATTAATCATAAGTAGATCCTAATGTAACAAATAATAATTGTAAATCAGCACTTATGCCGGCTTCTGAAACAGGAAATATTGGAATTATTAAATATTGAATTGAAAACAAAGCAGATGTTAATATTCAAGATATTAATTACTACTTGGCAATCGCATATGCATATAAGAATTCAAATTATGAAATAGTTAATTATTTAACTAATTTCAATAATTATTAATTAAATGAAAGATATACAGTTTTTGTAATTCCATTTAATGATCTAAAAATATTTATAACCTTTTATTATTAAATATTCAATTGATACTATTACTTCAAAAAAAAATTTTTTTGGTGCTTTTTTTTTTAATGAAAATGACCAAAGATAATATCAAAATGAATCAATTATATAAAATAATGAAAATGAATAATACTAAAGAGTTTCTAGCTAATGTAGAAATTGATATAATTATCAAATAATGCTTAAAAAAATTTTTTTTGGTTATTTAAATACTTTATAGAACAAAATAAGGATATTAATATAAATCATTCTGACAATTTAGGAAGGTGTCCATTAATAATTGCTTGTGAAAAGGGAAATTTAGAATTGGTTGAATTGTTAATAAAACATGGAGAAGATGCAAAAAAAAAAAAAAAAAAAAAAAAAAAAGATATTGTAAAGTGCTTAATAAATAATGAAACAAATCCATTTTTAATATACAAACTATATAAGTCTGCTTAAACTATAATAATAAATTTAATATACAACATAACTGATATAAATAAATTATAAATCAATATATATTTAACTAATAATCATATAAATTATAATTTTATGTAAAAAATTAATAGAATTAGTGACGATATTAATACTAATAAATATGGAACTTTGTTATTAATGAAAGTATGTGAGGAGCGTCATTTTTTAAAAATTAAATATTTAGTAGACAATGTTTCTTATGCTAAATATCATAATAATTTTAATGATATACCATTAATTTATGCATTCGAACAAGGAAATATCGATATTATTAAACGTTTAGTGGAATACGGAGAAAAATTAATGCTTATAATAACTGTAAAGAAAATGCCTTGATTATAGCTCATAATCATGTATATTATTCTATTATAATTTTTTTTAATAAGAAAAAAAACAAAAAATTAATAAAATAAATAATAATATATATAAGAAAAATCAATGAATGATATTAAATATATTAAATATTAAATTATAGTATATATATTAAATAAATTAAAAAATTTCTTTTAATATCATTTAAAAAAAGATATTTTATAACTAATTTTACAATTGAATACCAATATATTATATTTATATATATATCTATTTAATATAATAAAAAATAAATTAAATACTATAATATGTATTTAATATTTAGAGTTTAATTATTTATATATATAAATATATATATTTTTTTTTAAAAAAAATTTAATATAATTTTTTAATTTATCCTATTTTTAATAACTTTTTTTTTTTTTTCCATTATAATTATCCATTCATACATTCATTACTAATACTTCGTTAAAAAATTGAGGATAAGTAAATTTCATAATATATAAATGTTGATATCAATCATCAAATATATGAACATTTCATAATAATAATAATAAAAATAATAATAATATTATTATCATTATTAATATTATTATTATGCCATGTTGGTCCAGTCGGTTAGAACAATACAGGTTACTATAGTGGCCGGATTTGAATCCCCGACATAGCGTTAATTAAGTAGTTTTCTATCCCGGAGTATCATGCAACCACAGTGGTATCCAAAAAGTTTTCCCTTGGCTTCTTATTCATCCAACCCTAATATTACTCTACGACTTAATTATAGACCTTGATGATGTCTCCGGTTAATTCTATAGGAATTAGGCGGGACAAATTCCAATACGCTAATGATAACACCTACTGAAGGGAGTGAATGGTTCCTGTTCTTATGCTGGTAGTCAATGGAGATATATATAGGAATGTTTAAGGAATTCAGCTCAGAGCAGACGTGTAACGACGTATTGTGAGCGACGACACCGTACTGGATGCAATATATCATCACTCTTACAGTAATTACAATTGAGATACTAATGGGTGATAGGTACTCATATGTATAATATGTATTTTATTATTATTATTATTATTATTATTTAATTACAATATTTAATAATATTTTCCTATTGGTAAATTATTTATTCATTTTTATATTACTATTAGTATTCATTATTTCTATTGTTAAAAAATTGTGAATAAGTAAATATAATAATTTATAAATAATATATAAATTTATATAAACATTGATCATCAAACATTTCAATATTAACACGTCATATTAATATAATTAATTATTTATTTATTTATATATTTTATATTTATTTATTTTTATATTACAATATTTAAATTTTAAACTTTATTTTATAAATATTTCAATAGCTTTTCCAATTTTGACAATTATTTATTTTTTTCATTTATATATATATATATATATATTTTTTTTTTTTTTTTTTTTTTTTTTTTTTTTTTTTTTATTATTATTTATTTATTTATCTATCAAAATAATATTTGCATATAATTGTAAATTAATGTCTATTATAGCATAATTAAACAATATTATTCTTTATTTGAGATTTAGTTATTTCAATAGCAATGGAAATTATGGAAATTCAAAATTTGAAAGAAAATGTTAACATTTCTGAAATTAAAAAAATTTTAATTCAAGAAGAAGCAGATGTATTAAACAATTTAAAAACTTTTTTAAACAACAATAAAAATTCTTTTGAAATTGACGATTTAAATTCTTCTAATTTTGATTTATTGGTGTATACTATTAAAAATAATTGTTCATTATCTGTAATAGAATATTTAATATCAAATTGTAAAAAATATAAGACTTGTTTGAATTATGAAACTAAACAAAATGAAGTTCCATTATTCATTGCATTTGAAAAGGCAATTCCAAAACAAAAAGAAAACTTTGAAAATGAAAAAGAAAGTAAAACAAAGAAATCGTTCTTTTTAAATAGTCAATCAATTAAAATATTTAACTTATTAGAAGAATATGGTGCTGATATTAATTTTTGTAATAGGAAAGGAGAGAACTTATTAATATACATTTATAATAAGGAGCTGCTGAATGTAGATATTTTTAAATTGTTGTATAATAAAAATTTGGATATTAATTATTTCTTAGAAAGATTATATATAGCTTCAACTGAAGATGAATTTGACGAAGAATTACTAGATAACATTCAAATTACAAATAAAAGCAGTACTAATAATAAAGAGAACTTTAATAAATATTTAAAAATTGCAATAAATGAATATCATAAACGTATAAATAAATTCGTATTGATATTGATTCATAATTCTAAAAATAAGACAAGAATAAGTAAAAAACAATTTAAAAAAATGTATAATGAATACGTTCAAGATATAATTATTAAAATTCCATTTAATTATTTATATGATTTAGTTATTGAAGGTCAAGATAGTAAAATTGAATATTTACTTGAAAATAATATTAAAATATATTGTAATAACTTTTCTAAAAAAGTTAAAGTAACGAATAATATCGAAATTATAGAATATTTAAAAAATTTTAATGCTGATGGAAATATCTATAATCGATACTTGAATACTGAGGAAATATTAAGTTCTTGTTTTTATGATGAGGATTATGAAATATTAGATTTTTTAGTTAAGCAGGGTGTTGATTTTGATAAATATGATAAAAATGATTATTATTCCAAACCACTTTTCGCAAATGAATGTGAAAATAATAATACTGAATCTATTAGGTATTTAACTGAACATGGTGCAAATATTAATATAAAAGATAATTATGAAGGAAAATCTGGTTTAATGCTTTTAATTAATAATTATGATTATTATGAAATTGATTGTATGGATGAAATAAAATATTTATTAGATCATGGAGTTGATTTTTTCAATGATAAAATTGTTTGTAGTAATGAAGAAGAAAAGGAAGATTTTTATAAATATTTAATTGAGTACGGTGCCAATATCTATTCCGAATTAAAAAGTAACCAAATTTATTATCTAAAAAGTAAATATTTAATTGATTATAGTACCTATTTTAACCCAAAAGATTTATGTGCACCATTTGAATCTTATGTCAGATCCGGAGATATAGAAATAATTAAGTATCTCGTTAAGAAATATAAAACTGCTAATTTAATTGATGAAGGGAATAAAACTTTATTGCAAATGGCCTACAATGAAGGAAATAATGAATTAGTTCAGTATTTAATTGAGAATGGTGCTGACTTTAATATAAAATCTGATGTAGGGGAACCTATCCTTATGACAGCCTGCCGTAATAAAGATATGAAAATGGTTAAATATCTAATAGAAAATGGAGCTGACCCCAATATAACAGCTGAAAACAGTGGTACACCATTAATAAATGCTTTCCCTGATATAGAATTAGTGAAGTATTTAGTAGGAAATGGTGCAGATATTAATCAGCCAGATCATTATGGGTCGACGCCTATCATGATTGCATGTAAAGAAGGATATATAGAAATTGTTAAATATTTATTAAATAATAACGTCAATATTAGTATTTATAATAAAATGGATAAATCATTAATCAAAGTAGCACAAGAATATAATCGTTATGAAATTATTAGTCTTTTTGAAAATCATAAAAGTTTTATTAATCATTATTCTGGTTGTAAGAATGACAATGAATTAATTAATAGATGTTTATTGGAAGGTCCAGAAGTTATTCAAAAGTTAATAGGAAATGACAATAATAAGATAAATGAAGTTGACGATTATGGTTATACATTATTAATGAAAGTTTGTATTAAAGGAAATCTTAATAGTGTAAAGTATCTTGTAGAACATGGAGCAGACAAAGATAAATTCAATAATTCATCTTATACCGCCTTAATGTTTGCTATCGATAATAACCATCCCGAAATAGCAAAATATCTCATAGAAACAAAGGCCTCTATTAATAATAAATCTATCTTTGGTATAACTGAACTGATGATGGCTTGTAAGTCTGGAAATTATGAATTAGTAAAATGTTTAATTGAAAATGGAGCCGACGTCAATCTAATAAGTATTTATGGCTATACTGCATTAATGTTTGCATGTGAAAGGGGTCATTTTGAAATTGTTCAATATCTTGTAGAACATAATGCGAATATCAGTATTATTAATAATATGGGATATACAGCATTTTTATATGCTTGTCAGCATGATAATCTTGAGATGATTCAATATTTAATAAAACATGGAAGTGACATTAATATTACTTCAAAAAGTAATAATTCTGCATTAATGATTGCTTGTAAAAATAATAATATTAATGTAATAAATTATCTTATTGAACAAGGTGCCGATATTAAATATATAGATAAAACTACTGGATATTCACCATTTATTTATGCATGCATCAATAAAAATTTACCAATTATAAAATATTTTGTAGAACACGACGTACAAATAGATCAAAAATATAACAATGGTAATTCTGCTTTATTAAATGCTTGCAAAGAAAATGATTTAGAACTTGTTAAATATTTAATTGTTCATGGAGCGGACATAAATCAATTTAATGATAGTTTTTTAACAGCATTAATTATAGCATGTGATAATAACAATTTTAATATGGTAAAATATTTAATTGATGAAGGAGCTGATATTGATTATCAATATCAAGATGAATATTCAGCTTTAATGAAAGCATGTGAAAATAATAATCTTGAACTTGCTCAATTTCTTTTAAATCATGGAGCTACTATTAACAATAAATATAATAATAATGCATTAATTATAGCATGTAATAATAATAATATAGAATTGGTGAAAACTTTAATTAATTATGGTGCTGATGTAAATGTTTTTTGTGATAACAATAATGAAACTGTATTAATGAAGGTCTGTAAAAATAATCAAATTGAATTGGTTAAATGTATAATATATCACGGTGCTAATGTTAATAAACAGTCAAAAATTGGTAACACTGCTTTAATTTATGCCTGTGAAAACAATAATTTTGATATTGTAAAAATATTAGTCGAAAATAATGCTAATATTAATAAATATAATAGATATGGTATTACAGCCCTTCTTAAGGCCTGTGAAAATAATAATTATGAAATACTAGAATATTTAATAAAAGCTGGTGGTAAAATTGAAGTTCAACATAATGAAGATAAATTTAAGAAAACACTCTTAATGATGATGTGTGAACAAGGTAATCTAAATATGGTTAAGTGTTTAGTGAAACATGGTGCTGAAATTAATGCAAAAGATGATAAAGAAAGAACACCTCTGATGTACGCTTGTCAAATGGGTCATGAAGCGGTCGCTAAATATTTGGTAGAAGAGTGTGAAGCAGATATTAATATAGTAAGTAAGTATGGATTAACGGCTTTATCTTGTGCATGTGAAAGTGGTAATGAACAAATTGTAGAATTATTATTAAATCATATATCAATTATTAATGTAAAAGGTAAACATGGAGAAACTGAATTAATAAAAGCTTGTAAAAGTAATAAATTCACAATTGTAAAACGTTTAATTGATTATAAAGCTGAAATCAATATGACTGATAATGCAGGAAATACAGGATTAATGAGAGCCTGCGAGAATGGGAATGAAGATATAGTACAATACCTAATTAAACATGGTGCTGATGTAGAATGTTTAAATGATTTCGGCTATCAGTCGTTAATGTTTGCATGTAAAAGTAAT